GGCTCAACCTGGTGGCCAGGTACGGACGAATTACTAGGCAACTAGCCAGGCATGTGGCGTCAGATAAACCTTAACTCTTTTGGGGCTCATCGGAGCTATGGATATCACTTGAGATGGCATCACGACAGCTCCGGCTTAGATTATTCCAAGTCGAAGTGCCGTTGCAGCCCTCAAACGGGGTGTTCCTGTCTGTTCAAGCAGAGGTCATCAATCACGTCAGCTTCTGGATCACGACTTAAACTCTATCATCTGGATGACCTGCACTGGAAAAGAGGCAGGAGAATGAAAGAAAATATGTCTTACCTCACGGCCTCCTATCAAACACAATCACGACTCGAGGCCGGGCGAGAGGATTGGATAATATGTATGAGATCCCAAGTCAATGACGCATTCTCCATGGAGCCAACGGATCACCTGGCCTAGCCTCGCTCATCTATGGGTAGTTGGAGTCCGATGCAGGCAGCCGACGTGGCAGCCCGGCCCGCTCCTGGCTGGCCTCCTCGAGGTAGCGTGCGCGAGGCAACGCGAGTAGAGAACGGCTGCCAAGAAGTCAATGAACAATGGATCCAGGAATATGTCTTACCTTACTCGGACATGGTCAGCAAGGCGTCAAGCGGGCAGAGCTTGGGGAAGCTCTGCTTGGTCCGTGTCCGAATTGCTGGAGATACTTCCGGATCACTGGCTGACAGGGGATACCGTTGCATAGATGGGCCATGGGCGACAGCAAGAAACAATCCTCGGACCGCTGCACTCTTCATCTTTCGTGCCTTTCCATTCCAAGGATCTTGGTTCATCGCAACTACCCGTAGGACACTACCTTGAGCTTAGTCTCCCTTTCTCTGCTAATTCGAGGGATGTGCACCACAGGGAATCAATCTGTCCCAGGGGAAGTGGTCGATACTTGACACAATGTTATTGAGTGTTTTCTATTGCAACAATAAATCTACTCCCAACTTTCAAGCAAAGCTCTTCTACCCAGAAAAGTAATTGGATTATCCCGGTGGACCACATCCCTGAAACCTCTCCGTGGTCAGGTCAGTGGCCTTCTCCTCAAGGCAGCCGCTCGTTCATCGTAAACCCGGGGCTAGGATATCTCCTCAATGATGGCTCATGGCAGAAAGAGTCATTGAGCAGTGCTTACTATGCGTTTTCTTCTTCGAAATTAACTGAGTCGTCACAAGTGTACGGGCAATAGTATGTGGAAGTGTTTCCAACGTTGCCATTGCCAACGCCCATGGGTTGTCCCATTGCGTTCGAGAGGATTGTGTTCAATAAAGTTGGCGGCACCTGAGATTCGAAGATGCTGTCGATTAAGCCAGTCCAGGTTCCAGTATCAACAGGAATGACCGAGTCTAAATTGGCTGAGAGGAAGGTCCGTCCTGCTTGACTGCAGTCTGCCGTTGGAGGAGCTGTGTCCAAATGTCGTGGGTCAAATCCTTCGGCTGTGGTTGACTCCACGTGAGTCGGGTCAATGAATGCTGGAGAAGTATGAAACTCTCTCTGAAAGCTTTCTGATTCGGTTTCCGAGTCGTTCTGGCTTGCGAGATGGCCACTGCGAAGACATTTGCATGCCTCGCACTGTGTCTTATGGCGCTTCACGTTGTCTGCCCTAGGCTTGAGCCATCCACCGCAGGGCATTTTAACGCGTGCTGAATGAACGGTCTTGGTGTGTCTCTTGTGGTTGCCTTTCTGAGTGAATGTCTTGCCGCAGCACACGAGTGCCTTTTCAGAAGTCATGGTGATTCCGGCTGTCGTCTTGGGTGGTGAAACGCAGGTCTACAGAAAGATGGTTCTCTCCAATGCTAAGGCATTGGGGAATGAGCAAAGAAGAGAATGAGTGCCCACGTCTACTTCTCATCATACTTACTTGAAGAAGCGGCTCGTATTTAAGGTGAGCGGGGTTGGAGCTTTCAGTAGTGCGCATGAGGAAAACAAGGCAACGAGTTGAAGGCCCTCCACAGCTCGTGGATACGGATAGCAGTAAGTTTCGTGACGCGGAGTCATAGCTTTTCCGAAGCCTTTGGGGTCAAGTCGAGTCGTGGTAACTTGTCTGAATGGGACAAGCTGTAGAGGGCGGAACGCCTGGCAGGAGGCACGGTGGAAGCTAGCCAGGCGAGAGACCGTATGTGGTGAAAGCAAAAAAGGAATGTGCTTAGATACAGCTACCGTATGTCGCCGTCTGGGCGGAAAAGCGGGCGATAAAATCGGTAAAGTGATCTTAGCATAGGTACCTATGATGCCCAGGAGGCACGACTGTACCTTCCAAGCGAGTATCGACGCACCTCCAAAGGCTGGACTGTGCTTGGATTTGTAGGCGAGTAAGACGGTCGTCACCAAATATAGATGAGATATGGGAAACCGTTTGGAAAGAAACGGTAATCCGTCTCTCGTCTCGCTTCTGAGGAATGCGGCTGCCGTTATTCTCGCCATTACGAGTCGACATTGTAACGCCAAATGAATGACGGGAGCCAAGCCAGACGACTGGAGTCGATCATCAGCTGCCCATTTCAGGCATCAAGAGCAGGAAGCTTCGAAGGCTTGACATGAGGCTCCGGACAATGGTCGCCGAGAATACGTAGAAATTTTCATAGGGTAAATAATATTTGTTTAGGATGGAAATCAAACATACGGTCGTATCGGGTAGAATGACGGGCAAGTTGTCGAGGTTATCTTAGAAACGGGGGCAATAGCTGCTGAAGCCTTTGCTGCTTTCCGGTCCGGCACTGTGGAAATCCAGTTCATCCCCTAATCATTGACGTACTCAGAGAATAGCTCCTACTCCATTCTTACAGTGTTCTGAGAAAGCTTGAAAGTGAGGCGAGACACAATGCCAGCCCCCACATCTTGCGAACACACTCTCCTCACGCTCCATCCCGTCCCTAAGCTAAGAGACTAGCTGTTCTACTTCAAACTAACGGGCCATAAGCGGGGGCAGTCCAGACTTCGGAGCTAAAGAAGCAATAACTAAGGAAGCAGTATTGCGAAGGCAGACAGGACGCTGCAGGTGCTCCCAAAGAGACCATCATCTGACTGACGATTTCGTCCTAAGGGGTAGAGGTCGGCCAAACGATACCAGCATGGGTTCATCCAAGTGTCTAACTTTGAAAGTATCTTATATGCCCCATAGACTTTTACTTTCTCATCTGGGCTACTTCTTAAACAAAAGAGAAAAAAGAGTGTATGCCCCTGAAAGGCTGCTGTCGGACTTTGCGATACCGTAATGCGGGAGAACGACGAGGAATGACGGGCTGATGGTCTGTGGGTCTACGGAATGTTGGACAGGTTCAGCTCCTTTCTGGACTCTGATCAGCACACTAACGCGGGTGATCCCGAACGATAGGGCCTCTTGAGCCTTCATGTAGCCTCAAGTCAGCAGCACTCGACAGTAGCCAAGACGAAAGCCATATCAATTCTCGAATTAGGGGACGATGGTGTAGAGGACTGGTGGAGAATAGTCGCGTCTAGCTTCGTTGCAGCCTGCTGATGAAGAGTGCCTTCATCATGGGTGAGACACTCAAATTACATGGAACAGGGTGCAGCTCCCTTCCCCTTTCCCCTTTTCTGATATCTTCTTCCGTGGCTCTTGATTCGCCCGATTCCGTGCCGCGGCAACACCACGGACTGACCAGCCCTGTGTGAGAGCCCAAGAAGACGACAGGTCGGTGCTCCCGTGGCGAGCCTCCCACAGTGACGTATGAAAAGCTTATTCCGCTGTTGACAGATTGATGATGCCTCACTTGGAGGTAGTGAAGGAGTTGGCCACCCACGGGCACATCAGTCCAGTTGCTTTCGGATCAACCACACACCTCCTTTCCACGATGAACTGTTGCATCTTGTCAGCTTGCTTCAGACCTAGCGGTAACTACACTGTCACTTTACCTAAATGGCGACGTTCTCAGGTCTGACTCGCTGTTTTCTCTGTCTGTTTTCTCACCAAGCGAACAGTTATTCATTGAGTGTCCATGTGAGGCTGTCCAACCAATACTACTGCAGAATCGAACGAGACAGACTCTCGCTCTTATTCGAGTGAGAAACACATCTCAATTTGCCCTCCGTTGCTTGTCATCGTCGTGAAGCTTGATAAATAGTTCGTGAAGTCGGTCAAAGACGAAACCTACGGATTACGCTTGTCGCTAGTGGAAGGACTCGCACGATTTCGGGCCGTTTGCGGCTACCCACGCGAGCCCAACGCGCACTCACTCACTCCAACGCGACAGGCTAAGACTAACTCTTGCATCGTTACAACGTTGTATTTGAGCTTATTTGAACTTCATTGCAAGATTAGCTAGCGCTTGTTTGGCTGAGGCAGACGCTATCATTACTGCGGCACAGACGTGGTCCTAAGAGCCGACCGGTCCGACCACGACGCCGCTAGCTAGCGAAATCAACATCGATCGCGCCAACCATGAATTGATAGATGAGATGGTTGGTCCTATATTCGCATTGACAACATTCTTGGGTCTTAATCTTGCTGCCGTGGGGTATGCTTGTAAGGAGGTAGAGACATCATCCTCTTTCCAAAAGAAAGTGGTAAGCTGTCAGTATGTCACTGAACCGATTTGATACCTCCTAGGGACCGAACCTATTCTTTTGAAGCTGCGTCGGTAATGTTTAGTGGGTTTCCAACTCGATCCGTGCTCTCCGCTGAGGGAAGGTTCCGAAACCCGGGGGACTGCCGATGCATCTCCACAAGTGATCGGACATTGTCTCCACTTTTACCGGTAATTCGGACCCGTTGCAATCGGCGTTACCAACAAGAACATATGCGCCACGAAATCTTCACAGAACGTCATTCCACATGCCTGATACACCAAAATGATCCTGTCGCTGCTTGTTCATTCCAATTCTGAAGAAAATTACCTTTCAGCTTCTATAGTCAGAGCTATGTGCTCACATGGACCGGACTGGACTTGAAACCTGGATGGGCTCCTATGGGCTTCCACGATCACCCGGCTATTCGAGATGATAGTGAGGGTTTTCCAAAGAATAATTGCGAGTAGCTAGCCACATAGCCTATAGGCTAGGAAGCAACATGTTCCGGTAGCCCATATTACCCATCGGCTGCATGAGCTGTATCCAATCGAGCTACCCACAGGAGCGTAGATCAGACTTCCATCGACTTTGTCGCGGTTGATCAATGTAAAAGAACGCGCTTTGTTCCGAGTATACTTCATTTCCGTGAGCATCACGCCTCGTAGACTTACATTATCCAAAACACAAATCCGCAGATGCCCAAACTTCAGTCGCGAGACTTCGATGGTTTTGGCAGAGCCCCCAGACAATTGAGATGGAACCCTAGACAGAGTTGAGGCATCGCATAACTCTGTCAGATCCGCCGTGTCATGTCGAAAACACCACTCTTGGCCTAGAGGTCACAAATCTAGAGAGAACCCACCAACCGCTTGATTCAAGATGACTAAGAACCATAGAGCCACCAGGAACATAGAGAAACTGCAATTCGTTGTGCACCAAGCTATTATAGTACGGAGTCAGTGCACCTGGATAGTTCGAGTCCAAGGCCATCCTCTGTGACGCGAGCTTGGTCACGTTGCATCAAGACTGTCCTTTTTGAGTGCCAAGTGACCTTTTCAGACAGTCGAGTGCTTCTGATTTCGGTCTGAGAGAAAAGACCTGGCGTTTCGGTAGCATTACCGCCATGATTCCATTACGGCGACCTTGGCCTTCAGTAATATTCAGCCCGTGCAAATCATCATCTCCCCTAATCAACTTGCACCAGATCCCACCCTCTGCTGGGTTTCTCGAGTATAGAATCGAGGTAGGAATCACGCTCTATAGCTTTTGTCTCGAAATTCGACATCTCGGTCGCTGAGATCGTACGGCGGAAACTGTCGCATCAATAAGTGTTAGCCAAATAGCCCCACATCCAGCTAGAATATTGTGACTGCATACTTACTCCAGACATTGCCGCAGGACCGCTGTCTTGATCAAACAAGCCCCGACATCACAAAAAAAAAAAGTACTTCTTTCTGATCGCAGGAAGGTTGAACAATAATTTCGAGGTATCGTAATGTACAAAGAACGCCTTGTCGTTGAATCCGAGGGGCAGCTGCGACACATATGTATCCAAACGTTGGTCGCCTTACGACGCTGACTCATCACACACACCCTCCACGTTGTTTGGGTTCAGGCGACCACCGACCATTCCCAATGGAGCCAATCTTTCAATCTAGCCCAAAGACCCTCTAACCAGTGGTCAAAACTTCCCGTACGTATCGTTTCTGTGCCGAGGGCTGATTGCTCTGGTGGACAAGCGTGACAAGGCAACTAAGATGATGGATCTGAGTGGATACTTCTTGCGCCGGGATCCTGTGGGGTTGTCTGCACGACATCAACGATGAGCGTTTTGTTCTCCACAACAGTTACCAGTGGAAGGGGACATATCCGTATTCGTACGTTTGTTACTTCGTCCCATGTACTAATGGAACCAGTCCATGTGAAATCACCGCCAGGACTATCAAATCGTCAGAACAAGATTATCATTATGATCTCGGAGGGGAACTCACAATCCGTATGGGTAGGCGTAGATCGTGTCCAAAACCGGGTCATGGAGCGGTGCGTTGACGCCAACATCGTACGAAGTGTCTCGCGTCTCATTCTTAGGGGCATGTAGGTAGACTTCGTTAGGGGTGACACAGCCCGATAGCTCGTTCTGGGCTGGGGTCCCGTCGACTGCGCGTGCTATGATAACTTGTTGTACATGCTGACTAAGACGCTCTGACCGACGGGGCTTAGTCATGCTTGGAACTTTTTCAGTACCGACAGGCTTTCGGAGACACGCGTGGCACCTTTGCTGATGGCGTCTGATGTTGCAAGAATGACCTCGTAGAAGCTTTCCGCAACGCATTTTGACTAGTGGACCGTGCACAGCTCTCATATGCCGCTTAAGGTTGGCTTTTGTTGGAAAGGGCTTTGAAGTGCAGCCAAGTGTCACGCACGGGAAGAACTCATGGGCAAAAGTTGCCATCAACGGCATTGCTTCCAACGTGGCCATTGCGACTCTAAAGATTCCGTTTCGGATTCTCTGTCACACGCTGGGTCAGTCGAGCTATAAGGAGTGTTTAGCATTCGTTTCGTTGAGAAGAGTTGTGTTAGCAACAGGCGGTCGAGGTCGTGAAGAGATATGTATATTCGGAGGATATCGAGAAAATGCAGAGGCGACGTTCCGTTGATGAGAGCTGTACGCCGCAAGAGAATCAAGCTGTATAAGGGGTAGCTGGAGACACGTGCCCAAATTCGGTCTGGAGCTGTACGATTGTTACCATTGAACTTTTGACGAGGACGCTGGCTACCTAAATATGGACAGAGTCACAGAGGTCAGTTCCAAGGGCGAACCACTCGCCACCTAAGGCACATGCATTAGCACGGTTGCCTGAGAAGGCCTGCGAGAGCCTCAGGCTGGTTCGCGAACCAGTCGCTTGTGGCATCCTGGGGGACTTCCTCTTCGCCCACCCCAAGTTCCCGTCTATTTCATTCTTCCCAGTCCAAGTCACAAACGGCTCATCGAACCAAGAAGCCGGCACCTTGGACGATGATTCGAGCCAGCTCCCTGCCATGATGACCTCCCGGCTGACCTAAGGTAAGTCAACCTTCCTTAACCCCACCTTCAATTGAAGAGGTATCTAGCCTGACGAACTGCGGCCGTTGCAAGGAGTTGTTAGAATTGCATTGAACGTTCGGCCGGGCAAAGTTATCGCAGAACTTCGAAGTGCAAGCCATCGCTGAAGTTTGCCTGGCACGTTTTGTATACCTACCTCAAAGCACTTCCATTGCGACCCGTTTACCTCTATCATCAGTCAACGACCCAAACCCTCTTCTATCTCCCACATGCATGATGGTTATCACGATGCCAGTATGCTCTTACGGTAATATTTAAACCCCTTCACACTATGTTGTTCCGATCATGGACACGATATGATTCATTGTGAAATCATGGCGAGAAGGGGTTTTACCTTGTACACTGCACAGCGTTCACTTGATTACTTTGCTTTGGTCCAGAATGGATGGATTCAGGAGTGATACTCCGTTGACAACATTGGAGCGTGGCAATAGGAATCGGCCTGGAAGATCACTTTTGGAACCATCATTACCTTGGAATCTACCGTTCAAGGCGTAAGTGCACGAGATCGATGCAGAAATGTAACGCATGCTTCTTTGCACATTTGACCTGACTTGCCGTGAGAGCAATAGAATGACTATATTGTTAATTTCTCGCCAGGTCCACAACTCCTTCTAACTATTCGAGTCGTCAATCGTTTCTTCCGCCCGTAAACAGTCCGAGAGGTCAACAACAGGCTCAAAAGAATCTACATCATGCAGGAGATCTTTGCCACCCTGCTCCTCCTCTTCTGAGCCGCATCCTTCTGCACTCGTTCCTCTTTCCCCTCTGCCATGTAGTTACAGCTTTCGTGAGCGACGCCTGGACTCAACCCAAGGCGGTCCACACCACACACCCCACACCACCCTCTTCCCTAAGACACCCCCCCTCTGAGCCATCTACCCCCCTTGGTTGCCTTACCAAGGAGCCGCGTGGTTTGCGAACCAGAAGAAGTCGTGTTCTTCGGGGTCATGGTGACACCCCACCCTCCAGCTCATGTCGCACTCGGTATAGGTTTTGCTCTGCTTTGATGTCAACGAGCCATGCAAAGTTACCTACCGCCTTGATGGATGCCTACTCCCGTAAATCAACACAGGTCCTTATATCCAAATATTCCACTCTATTTTTTTTTCTCTCTCCACCTTCTCCAAGGCAACTTCCCCCATGATTTCGCCCTTCCATATCATCCCGAGTAGAGTGGCTAGGTATCTCGCCATCCCAAGCACGAACAAAGACTGGATGAGACAGACAGATTCAATCAGCATCTGGTTTCATGACACTTTCCTGAATCCGCAATACGCGAGCTAGTGTCTTCATTCACCAAACCCCAATTTCCATGAACCTATATCCATCAAAATCCATATGTTGACTGCCCAGCAGCTTTCGTTCCAAAAACCCAGTACCCCCCAACGCCGTCTGACTTGACTACTCATGCTCACATGTAGCCTTCGACTTACAGGCCGCTCTACTTACGAAAACTCTCAACTCACGAACTTCGACCGACGTAACCATCCATGCTTGGATTTTCGTAGCATTCGCCAAATAGATATAAGTTGAGCACAAGGACCTGCCATACAACTTGGATAGTATCTAGCCATGCTTTAGATTCCTGAGAAAAGGAAATTTGCTCAAAGTTTCACTTGACTATAAGCAAAGCGTTGAAGTCGACTACGAATACGAAGACGGCGACTTACGCATTGCGGAATTCCATCACAACAAGAGAACCAACGAAAAGGTCGACGAAAGTTCGACTCTAGCCTCCGAGAAAAGGGACTGCGACGCTTTCGAAATCCCTACGGGACGGGTTATGTCCGTCAAAGTGCGCAACAGACATGAAAACCACAGTCTAACAACACACTTAGTCAGAAGCATGGGTCCGGCTTCCGAAGCAATACTGACACCTGTCGAATCTTCGACTCGGTAATGATCAATACGCATCAATCAGCGGCTCATAGTCTCACAGGCTTGGCCGAGCATCTCGTTAATGTTGCGACTCGCCTAACGCTTCTACAACGTCTTGAGAGTCACACAAATTCAATATCCCCAAGGAGGTTTATTGCAACGACGAGTTCAATGCCTCAAAATCAACGGTGACGCTCATAGCGACTGGCTCGATTTAGGTATTAACGGTTGATGCCATCACGGCAGTACCCTGACATGGCAATAGTTGTATCATGGCTTATCCTTCTCAACATCTCTCTGGTCCACTTCCCAACCTTGCCCAAAGCCCAACATGGACACGCCGCCCCCGACCCACGATGTAAATATTCCAAAGCGACAAAGAACCTCTCAGGAACGCAGTGTCTTCCAGATGAATCTTTCTCACTTATCACCATGAGCCTAGATGCAGACTAATGCCTCCAAGCAAGAGCCCTGAATGCGGCCCATTGGTGGCACCTATAGCAACTAGTTGGAAAACGATGGTGGAAGCAACAAACCGTATAGGAAGAGGTATGTTAGTAGGGAAGTTACGAGTAGAGAGGCTAGGCTGTAGGCTCCTCATAGTCCTCATGATCCTTAAGTAAGTGCAGTAAGATAAGTATTATAACCAAGATCACTACGGAGATTTTTCACCTTGTCCCTATCTCTTCCCTCCGCGTCTTTTCTCTCGGCGTCAACTTCGTCCTCGTCTTCAATCCCGTCTTCGTCCTCGTCGTTGGCATTGTACTCGACCTTCCTGCTACTATTCCCCTTGAATACTACCTAGATAGCGACGCCGATAACGTAAGATCCTTTGACGCCGGGAACAGAGAAAGAAAGCGCCAGCCTTTAGTCACTATCTTCCCGAACCGGTGTCGGACCACCCTTCTTGATGTTCGCGCTTCCATGTAAGGCTATGACAAAAGCGATAGGCCCCGGAGTCTATATGATTGGCTTCAGCATCAAAGATTGAGGCGGAGAACTTCCCGAATTTGAATGGAGTCCAAGCAGGTAATCGCTTCTCTCAAGACACAAGCTGAGAGCCTTTGAGGGCTTTGGGCTTGATGACAGTCAGTCATAAGCAGATCTCACATTCGCCCGCGCAGCAGGTAGTATATTTGATGGCCATTCCATCAGCATAGACTTCAAAGAGTACTATCAGCCTCGGTTCGTTGAGTGCTAGGCACAGACAGATAGGGTACGGGACTTCATCGACCGCCTCGTTCAGACGCAGGGGTCATATCCAGGACTGGCAGGCGCAGAGATACACTAACAACAGAGCCCGCTCTATGTTGGATGACTCGTTCCAGCTCACGGTACGGCCGATTCAATACAGCCTGGCGGCTAGCTTCAAGAACATCACCAAGTCCCTGGGTCTTTTCTCGTCCGTACTGCGCGCCACCACGGCCTTGACCCCGTTCTTACGCGGAGGGTGGTGCACAACACATGGCTCCCAGGGCAGTTGCCCGTCGCTGAGACGCTGGTCATTGCCCTTTCTTGCTCCTACGCGTGGCAGGACGGCTTTCACATTGCCGAAGGAGGTGCAATCACTGACGACATGAACAAGAAGAAGAAGTTAAGGACTGGCAAGACGGGTGGTGTTGCAGATACCCCCAAAGTGAATATTATGGTTCGATTCTCCCGCATGAGAGACAACATGGAGAAGTCGCGAGAGGATATTGAAGGAAGATCGTCCCTTATCCGAGGCCTCGAAGAGTGCCAATCAATTAAACAAGAAGTCGAGACCGACGCAACGAGGATTGACCAAAACGCAACAGGGGCGCCCAGGCGTGCGAGGAGGGCGACGCGCTGTTGGAAAAGGCCAGCAAGGAGTGGGGGCAGACGCTGAGTGAAAAGCTGAGAATGCATGAGATTTGGAAAGAGATGAATGCGCTGGCCACTATCCTGGAACGACTGTGATCTAATGTGAGCACACCTATGTTGACCTGAAAAGAGCTCGGTCAAGAGATTCATAGACGTAGTGTTTACGGATGAAAATGGCAATCACTTGCTCAGGTCAATCGTTACTCATATTCAAATTGTTTCAGCAAAACTTGTCAATTTCCCACCCCCCTTCCCTCTCTCACTACTGTTCTATGTAGCCTTTGGCTACGTCTCATAATCGCTGAGGTGCCAGCCTCCAACTGTGCGCGCGGCTGCGTGGGCTTGTACTTTGTCTCTCAGTCCTTATTTTTCAACCTGAAGGTCCTCCAGGTGCGTATCCTCCTCAGCGTTACGCCTGTTCCGGTTTCACCTTGGTGATGGCGCTCGTACTCTTGCCTTCCACGCTTCGATCTGGCGTCCTGCTTCTTCAAGATCTGTCTTCTAGATTTCCTCCATCTGTGCATGTTCGCTAGCTTCACGTTCCAATCTCTCCCTCAACTCTTTGTTTTCGGCCTGGAGTTCCTCCAGGTGCGCGTTCTCGTCAGCGGTACGTCTCCTACGCTCCTCGATTTGTGGTCGTGCTCGTAATTCAGCCTCTAAGGCTTCTTTCTGGCGTATTGAATCGTCAAGATCCGCTCTCAGTTGAGCGTTCCCCGTCGTTTGATCTTCACGTGCTGCCCTGTGGCGACTTGTGACTCTAAAAGGCTCAGTCTTTGGCACGTTGAGTCGGGCTCGGCGTTTCTTGTTCTTTGCTTCCCATCGCAAACGCACAAGAATGGCTCGCTCGTAAACGTCAGCAATGTTGCTCTTGTTTGGTAACTCATTCAATGGCCTTCGGCCGTAGACGGCGAGCTTGGCATATTCCTTGGGCGTGAAGCCTCCCCATTGTGGCATGCCCATGTATGTAGAGTTGGCCAAGGCCCTGATGATGTTGTTGATCTCGTGAATGCTAATTTTATATGTTCGAAACTTCCTGCCATTCGTGCGAGGCTCGGCGTCGGTGACAATGCTCCCCTCAAGATCTAGCATCAAGGTTGACAGAGGTGATGCATTCAGGGCTTTGTGGGTCATTCGCGATCTTGTCTTCTTGTGTAGCTCGGGCAGCGACTTGCCTTTGCCCTTGTACTTCTCAATCACATTGATAAAGGTGGCGAGGAAGTTGTCGTCCATCGGATTAGCCAGCGGCCAGTCCTGGTAGTTCCTCGTGCGTAAGATGGAGGCGTACTGCAGAGCGATTGCGAGCAAGTCGAGGCTCCCCATCCAGACGGGATGGAGAGACAGGTGGTGAAGGTTCCGACAGAATGCTACCGACCATACGGCCGGTCGTCTCTTGTAGACTTGACCATTCTTTTCGATTTCGATCTCATCGACAACGCTGGTGTCGAATTCCATGTTGTTGTACTTGGATATGAACAACTGTGGCGAGCAGCGCCAGACGCGCAGCCAGACCTTCCAAAGCCCAATGAGCTCAGCTGGGGTATACTTGAAGGTCACGAGCAATTCCCGCTCAGCGTTCTTCTTCCACTCCCTCTGCAGCTTCTTCTCATCTTTCCTGGTCCAGTCTTCGTCGTATTTCGACTTGGGCAACTTCTTTGGGAACAAGCGATCGAGCTGACGTTTCGTCAGGATAGGAAGCGTCTCATCCATATACTCTCGAACTCGGGCCGTAGACATATTCTTTGACAATTTCTCTCGCACAAGGTCCCACAGAACGTGACCCTCGGTAGGCTCAGGCGAGGATGAATGGGAACTGTCCTCTTCTCGAGACCGCTCCGCGACTCCGCCACTGTTTGGCGTCGGATGGCTCGTCTTCTTCCTCTTGGTTCTGTCTGGCAAGACGACTTCTGCCGACGGACTCCTTCCTCGCTTGGGTGCTCTGCGTCTTGCCGGTCTCGTCGGTCGGGGCTCTTCGGGCTCAGTCGGTGCCTGGGAGCGTGCACCTCGTCGTCTTCTTGTGCCTTGCACGATGCCGTCGTTCTCAACGTCGTCCTCCTCATCGCCATCGAACTGCATGGCGCCGGCCTCTTCGAGACCTTGAGGGGAGTAGTCGCCATCGTAGTCGGATTCATCCGTCAAAATGTACTCGTTAGCAGAAGCCATGGTAGACAAAGCTGATCATACACAATCGTGTGTAAAATCAAGGTGTGGGGGATGTAATTAGGATAAAGTCGGGAGGAAGGGGGAAAAAAAGTTTTGAGGCACAAAAGTGTGCAAGCAGACTTGGGTCATATTCGAGGAAGGTGCCGTGGGAAAATAATTATTCGTACCTGCCTTTCGGGTCCATCGTGCAAGGAAGGTACCTTCCTCCAATACCTCATCCTACCTAAGGCAGGTACCTATGTATCGAGGAAATGGCAGGCAGCAGGATCTGGTAAGACGGAGAAAACTGGACACCAGATAGGAACCGAGATATGTTGAACACGGCGCGGTTCGACATGATGTCCATCCTCCATGTGTTTATCCTCCTCCGGGACCATGTTTACGAGAGATATTCCTCGTCCAATCAAATCAACAAACCTTCGTCCATCCGGGACGGGCACTCACCTACATCTCCCTCACCGCCTGACAGGCCCCCAAGCCATCAGCCATTCTCACAAACACATCAGAACCTGTCCTTGGATATTAACTTTGATTAGAAAACTACTCGCTACTCCTACACAGGAATACCAAGAAAAAGGGGGTGGGGGTATAAGTCAAAAAGTATCTAAAAAAGAATCCCAAACGCCAAACAACGCATGTGCCGAACATGCCTGGGCGATGGGGGGTAGTCTGTCTGTCTGATTTGGAAATCTCTCTTCTCAACCACTCGGAAAACAAAAGAAACGCCGTACGGACGATAGCCTCCCAAACTCCTAAACCTGAGCCGACCTCGCGCGATCAACGCTGGGCCGGCGATGCCCGTCCTCCTCTGACTGCGTCTTATGCTCTACTCCAGCCGTGCCATTAACCTGGGCCACATCCTTGGACTTAGACCCAGAAGCCTCCGTTCTTTCTTGTGCGTCTTCCGCGGCAGCCTTGTCTTTGGCATCCGCGCGGTCTGCCGCCTCGGCTCGTGCTTCCCCTTCCTCGTTCTCCGCGATATCATTTCTCCTCTTGGACGAGTTCTTGTCCGAGCCCTCCGAGTTCTCCTGATCCTCAGCAGACTTGCGCGCCCGCGCGGTTTCGGTCGACCGCCTCGTGTCAACACTATGTCTAGTCGCAGGGCTCTTTAACTTCTCATCCGCTTTGCGAAGCTCCTTTTCCGTGCCGACGACAGTGCTAATATCCTCACCCTTTTTGATCGCCTGTAGGGTGCGGTCGGCAATGTCGACGCTCTCAAAGGCTGCGTGATTGACTCGTTGCTTCTTGTGCGAGAAGACTCCCTTGATGCCTTGCTTCTTCTCGGCCTCGAGGGTCTCCAGGAGTTCGCGAATAGTATACCAACCAGTGACTACGTCCTTGTCGGTTTGCTTCTTTGAATCGCCTGGGAGGTTCCGTCTTTCGCGTTGGCCCTGGACAAGACGGGCCCGACGGACGACTCGATCCGGCTGTTTCTTCCGTTCGACTTGCTTGGCAATGCCCTTCAAAGTGTAGCCAACGGGACTAATGATGGCGCTGAGATCCTTGAGTACGAATCCCGTGAGACCCATGCCTGTTCCCTTGACGAATCCCTTGACGCCCTCCTTCTTGGCACCCCGGACGGGTAGGCGAACGAGGCCGGTCGTGCCGTCGTAGATGCCGTAAGCAAATTCCTTGCCGGCCGCCTTCAATCCAGAGCTGATGCCGGTAACACGTGGTGGGCGTCGAACGGTATCGTCACCGTAAAGCCGAGGAGCGTTGTGGAATCCCTGAGCGATGGCCATGGATAGGTCTACCGGTGCCCTCGCCAGGGCCTGTGCCGATTTGCCCACGCCCTCGCCGACCTCATTGGCGTAGTCTCCGACGGCGTCGTCGACGGTAGTTCCAGTATCGATCGATGACATGGTATCGCGACGTTCTTGCGCACCCGGTCTAGCAGAAGAAGCGTTTCCGTTGGCTTGGGATTGCTCTCCCTGGCTTTTGTTCTTGCCGTCTTCCTTATCTGCTTTGTTGTCCTCGGCTTTTCCTTCATCTTTCTTCTGCGCGTTGCTGTCGTCCCCGCCCTTTGCTTTCGCCTTGTCGCCCTCCTTTTTGGAATTGTCCTCGTCACCCTCCTGCGGTTGCAGCGCGCCGTTACTGTTAATCGCGGCCTTGCGTTCCTTGGCACTCGTGCGCTTGTCTCGGAGGGCTCTCAACTTCTTCTTCTTGTCCTTCTTCTCCTTGCGCTTGTGTGACGTCTTGGCAATCCTGTAGGGAACGCTACCGATACCGCCAAACACGTTGCCCATCGTCCCGGCGAGAGAGCCCGCGATACCAGTCACCGGTTCTCCAGGGCCCTCAAAGTCGTTCCATTCCGTGTGCCGCAGCAGTCTTAGCCTCTTCCACGAAAGTTGTCCTTCCTCGACAATGATGTCGGCGGCGAGGGCACTAAGCTTGACATTGGTGTTTTTCAGCGTCCAGACTGCCGGTCGGTCACGCAGAATGGAGCAGCGCATCGAGTTCATGCCTCCCAGAGTCAGGTGGTGGTGGAACGACCGCACAGCATTCTTGGCGCCGTCGCCTTCCAACTCAATGTCTTTGGCGACCTTGGCCGCCGCTTCTTTCGCCTCATCCGTAAGGCAATACTTGATGCCTTCGGCGAGCTTCTCGGCGTCGAGTTGCTTGTAGGGTACAGCCTCAGGCCCGGCTTTGCTTGTTGCAAGTATGGCTCCCCAGAAATGCTGGTCGCCGAAGAAAGGAACAATCATAGTCGGCAAACCGCACTTGAGAGCAATTGCGGTGGTTCCAGCTCCGCCGTGAATGACGCAGGCCTTGACTCGGGGGAAGAGCCAGTCGTGAGGCGTGTTCTCTAGCATAAAAATATTATCGGGAACATCCATTTCGTCGCCTCCCAAGCCGCCCCAACCCTTTGACACGAGCGCGCGAACCCCGGCAAGTTCAACAGCCTCGAAGATCATTTGGGTGAAACGATCCGCATCATCGACGACAATCGAGCCGAAACCAATGTAGATAGGCGGTTCCCCAGCATCCAAAAACTTCTCCAGTTCGCTTGGTGGCTCAAATGTCGAAGCCAAGTCGAGGAAGACGAATCCAGAAACGTCAATCTCTTCACCCCAATCTTGAGGCTTAGGGACGAGGCCAGGACTCCAAAGGTAGGTGAAGGGCACGTGCAGGCGATAGGTCGCTCCCGGAGCCCAAAGTGTCGAGACGGCATCCAATCCCAGGGTCTTGACGCGGAAGTCGTTGACCAAATCGCCCAGACCCTGCCATACCATCATCTCGACCAGGGGGTATGAGATGAAGTTGGTGTACCCGGGATCCACATTAGATTTCTTGATGCTGGCCAGGGGGTGAGGGAAGGCCTGTGTCGGAGTGTAGGGGAATGTGAACATGAGATGCAAGGGGATGCCGAGGGCCTCTGCGCAGTGAATATGGGCAAAGCTCGGGGGGTTGGCAATAATTGCGTCAGCGATGAAGGGGTCCTTTTCACCCATCATCTTGAGGTTGTGGACATCCTTCTCGTCGTCGGTGGCGTTGATGCAAGCTCTCCAGAAACCGTCAAACATCTCCGCCATGGCTGAACGTCGACGTCCAATGTCTCCGGCCTTGACAGCATCCAGAGTCGGAATCATGCCCGGGTTCTTGACCATGAAGGCCATCAGCTCGGAGGGGTCGCCGCCGACCGAGAAGAACTCCAGACCGGAGTCCTTTTCGACGAACTCGCGGAAGGCGGGGTGCGTCGCAATACGGACGCGATGTCCATAGTCCTCTTTGAGTATCTTGCCAATCTTGAGGAAAGGCTGCGCGTCACCGCGGGAGCCAATGACCATGATGACAATATTCAAGCGCGGCTTCGGCTCGCGGTCGGCCGTGGCCGTGGTAGCGGAGGAGAGACGTGACACGGGCGGACGCTGCGCATCCTCGCCCTGGTCCTCACCTTCGGGAACGGGCACCACCTTCTTGACGGCCTGTCCTAACGCCTTGGCCAAGTAGCCGGTATTGGCCGTCTCCTTGACCGAGATGCGCAGACGACCGTCCTTCTTCACCTTGCCCTTGGTGTTGTAATTGTCATTGCCGACGTGGAAGCGGCGGTAGCGCTCGGCAATCTCCTTTTGCCGCCTCGCATTGGCTTTATCTTGTGCCTTTTTCCTTTCGGCCGGGGTTTTGCTGTCTTGGGCGTTCTCGTCATCGGAGGAGTCGCTGGAGCTCGAACTCGAGCTCGAATCTCCTCTGTCGGCCTCCCAGAGTGCCCTATCGAGGTACGATGTTCCGGATCGCTTGGGGACGTTCCGCCGTGTCGCGCTGCTCTGGCCAGCTTTTCGTGCAGGCGCCTCGGTCCTCCACTTCTTGTCTATGGGAGGGCGTTCTTGGTTGTTCGACGTTCCGGGAACCTCGAGGTGGTCAGGCCCGTTTGGGGCCGACTCGGTCTTTGTGGCCCTTTCATCCTTTGGTGGTATTTCGGGAACTGTAGGCGCGGTCGTGGATTGCGGTGATCGAGCGTTCGGCGAGTCGACCTCGGGTGGTACAAAGGACGGGTAGACAATGTTCCTGTTCTCGTCTCGCACAACACCAATGTGTCTTCCATCGCGATCAATTTCGTCAATGTGAAGCTGCTCGGGAGGAGGGGTCGCTGTCGCCTCGGACTCGGTCGCGGTGCCCAAGGCCAGTTGTGCCGCGGCGGTTGGATGCGCCATGATGGCGTCGGGTTGGCGTGTGGTGGTGTCAGGTCTGCTCTTGAATTGAGTTTCGTCTCTGACGGTGGTGCGGAAGGGGGAGGAGGGGAGTTGCGGTTATGGAAAGGAAGTTGAGATCGATTGTGAGAAATTTGTTGTTTAGCTCAGGGCTGGCATCCCAATGTGGACATTAAGGTAGGTAGGTAGAGATACGTTTTGAAAATAGCGTGGCTAAAGAGGTCTTAGGGGCGAAGTTGGTCTTGGTGCGCAAGTCGCGTCACTTGTTCTTGGCTGGGTTGTCACGCAGAGGTTGACGTCCGGAGCAATGAAGGAGACTAAGGACCTCGAACTCCGCAAGCTAGAAAGGCG